TGGGTGCCTGCTGCAGGACCCCAAGTGGCCACACTGGCTGGCCTTCAACTCCTGGCAGTAAAGATGTGATCCCTCTTCCAGTCCTTCCCCATCCTGGGCTGTGGCGCACGCCCAGGACACCACTCCTGTGCTGGCCCTCCCCTGACAGCCTATGATCTTTTCTCACTTTCTGAGAAGACTCGCCTGTGCCAGGTCAAGGGGAGTTCTCGGTGACTCCGTTCTGGGATGTCCCAGGATGTGGAGCTATGCAGACCATTACAGGAGGGTGGGGAGGGGACCTGTAGACTCTATGTATGTAATTACTGTTACTATAATGCTGTTATTATATTAAATGTACTTACTCACGCTTTGCCTCCGGGGAGCTAGAGCGGTCCTCTGGTGACTCACTTGAGCACTTCCCCTCAACCAACCATTACTAGAACACAGAAAGTAAAACCAAGCCCGGAAGGCACCTTTCGTCCCTTACTGCCGAAGGCTGATGTCCTGACCCTAGGAGAATGTGCCACCTCCACAGTGGCTCCCAGAAGCTCAATGCACTCTTTGAAGGTTCTCCTCCCACAGTGCAGCCACATGGTAAGGCTGAACTGGTCTAGACAAACTGCAACCAGCAGTCTAGCACTGCTCCAGAGGAGGTCCTCAGGCCACAGTGCGTGAGCACCCCCAGGCTACTGGTTAACTGCCCATTCTTATGCCAAGCCCAGAGCTGCCATTCTGATGCCTGGGGGTAAAGCCTTCATTATTTATCAAGCTTTTTAGGTGATAGCTAAGTGCCCAACCGGGTGACTGTTTGATGGACAGAAGGACACAAGGAAAAGCAGAGGACATAGGCAGACAGACACAGGGCCCTGTGCCTCAAGACACCTGTTTATTGGGGACACGACTCTGCAACAGGGATGACAGGAATCGTACCAAAAATAGCGACGTCTACAGAGCCCCTGGATGGGGCTAGAAGGGTACAGTGCCCCCCACCCCCACCCCTTGTACAAAAATAAACTCTCACGCCTATGGACCAGCAAAGACTGGCAGAGGGGGCTCCTCAACAGCGACCCAACCCTCTGCCAGCCCTGGGACCCCGTTCTTTGACCCTCACCTCTGCCACTTCTAAGGCACTGTGACTCCCCTGGGCTGGGTGGGTACCGCCCGCCCACCCTCCTACGCCCGCCGCCCCCACCACCACCCCCTCTGGTCCGCCTGGGGCT